AAAACTACAACCGTTTGCAAAAAGAGATTAATTTATTGAACGAAGAAACTAGAAAGCATGAAGATACTGTTAAAATGATAGATGCTAAATTATCAGAAATAACTCCAAAGATTCGAGAAGCTGATCTCGAATTAAATGAATTTCGGCAAAAGAAAGCTGAATTGGAAATGTCTTTCATTAATGAATTAACCGAAGTTCAAAAACATTCCGAACGCTTTCTTAGTTTAGACCGAGAAATAGAGCAATTTAATCAAGGAAAAGTCAAGGAACGATTGGGCGAATGTAACGATCAAATTGAGAGATTAGATCAGCAGATAACTGCTAAAACCATTGCCAGTGAGAATTTTGCCAAACAGTTGCAAAATATGGATAAACAAGCATCTGAAGCGCGAGAGATTCAGAGGTCAATTGACGAAAATCTCAAATACAGAAAATTGAAGAACGAAAAAGAAAGCCTTGATAATCAAATTGACGAATTGAATCTGCTGAAGCAAAGGCAAGGATCATCAAATTACAAGGTTCGATTGGACGAACTGCAAAAAATTCAAGAGACGGTGTTAGCTGACGTAAATTATTTGATTATTATTTATTCACCTTTGCACTATTGTTCTTTCGTACTCAGTTTTAATTTTCTTTGTAGTCTGCAAGGTATACTGGAGAGCTTAAACAATTAGAAGAGGCTGTCCGAAGAGGACAAAATGAGCTTAACACGGAATATAAAGACATTAATGATAGATACACTGATCAGTTTATCATAGTTAAAGTAATTATGACCCTGTATATTTTTATATTTATTAAAATTTGGGACTTATTGTTTTCAATGTAAATAGACCAGCGAATTGGGTATTAAAGATCTTGAAACTTATGGCAAGGCACTTGACAACGCTATAATGCGATTTCATTCGATGAATATGGAAAAAATTAACAAGATCATTGCTGAGTTATGGGTAAATACATATGTGGGTGATGGTATGTATAACTATCGGCTTTAAATTTAATTATCATCATACATTATACTGCATTATTCATTTGCACTTTATTGTCTTATAGATATCGATCGCATTGAGATAAGATCAGAACAAGAAACTACCAGGGCTAATCGTTCCTACAATTATAGGGTAAGCGATAATATTTTATTTTTGTTTCAGATAAAATATATTAATAATTAACCTAAATTATATATGATTATTGGTTAACAGGTCGTCATGATCAAAAAGGGCAGGCCTATTGACATGCGCGGAAGATGCAGCGCCGGCCAAAAAATGTTAGCATCAATTATAATTAGATTAGCATTGGCAGAGACTTTTTGTATAAGTTGTGGCGTTTTTGTTCTTGACGAACCTACCACAAATCTTGATGAAGGAAATATTATTAATTTGGCGGCTGGCTTAAAAGGAATACTTGAATCTCGTCGTGGACAGAAAAATTTTCAGCTGATTATCATCACTCATGATGTCAACTTTTCAAGGATGATAGGGGAAGCACAATTTTCTGATAAGTACATCAAAGTTTCAAAGAAACAGTAAGTATATATAATGTTATAATTTATTTTTTTTATTTGTAAAGTTATTGAAGCACTTTACTACTAATTGTTTTTGTTCTATTGATACATGAAAATTTTAGCGGATATAGTATTGTTAAGGAAAAAGATTGGCAAGCACCAGATTCAGATGTTGAGGATGATGATGACTAATCTTGGATGCCTGAGTTTTACAATCTGGTACATTTTCATCTCTAAATACGTGGTCAATTTGTAAAATTTTAAAAAATAAAGGTTGATATACTATGCCGTAAGGCACAGTGATATCAAGTGATATCAATTGATATCAATTGATTAAAAAGATTGTGTTAGAAATAGAACATAGTTTGTCAAGTGTCAGTTTTTTTTTTTTTTTTACACAATCCTCTGAACGATTGAGATATTACTGAAATTGTTAGTGTGAAGCTAATTTTATTTTATATTTGGTGACAAATTCTACCATAAAAATAGTTTGCATCTAAATCCCACATTCTGGTAAACTAAAATTTTTATTAATGACGATAATCTTTATTAAAATAAACGGAAACCTTAATTTTCATTGTACAGGATTTTTGAAAAATTGTGTATTACATAATTTACCAATTTATGAATTTAAAGCCGGTGTAGTAAAAATTTAGAGGTTTTTTTATAATTCATATTATAATTATATACTATAAATTTCCAAAAATAAGCTACTATTTTTAGAAAAAAATTACACAAAAATTTTGTAGATAGCTTATTTTTGGATTTTAGCAAATTTTTGTTGAGATATTTTATTAAATTGATCTTGATTTTTTAAGTTGTTTAGATCAAAATATATATATTTTTAAAGTTTATAAAAATTGAATAATTTTTTATTATTTAATTTTTATTTTTAATTATTATAAATTGTGCTTGTGATATTAAATACCATATAATTTTTTATTATAATTTTGTTATTAATACTTAAGGTTAAGGTTAAAAATTAAAATAAAATTAGAAGTTATAAACTAAAAAATTAAAAAAAAAATAAAGTTTTAGTAAGGTTTTGAGATATAGCAACTATGGTGTTAAATACTACTGGCAGTATTGTACGTGAATGTTGTCTTGTTAAAATTGCAGAGGCACAGATAGCTCGAACAGTATCCTATGTTTCAGACAATCCAGTTTATCAAAAACCTAATTGGCAAACAAGGCTGTTTTTATTGTAATTTTAATTTTTTGGAACAAAAAAATGTTCATAGGCATGTTTCATTCTAGACTGTTCACTGTGTCCTATAATAATACTAACTACTAGTATAATTTAATAATTTTATTTATTTTTAATAAATAAAAATTTTAAAAAAATTAAAATTTTTATATTATTAATGATTATAGATTATTATTTTTTTTTTTTCAGTATTAAGGTAACTTCTTGTTCATGTACCTTTATTTGATTATAGTTATAATTTTATAGTATGATTTTCACATACCATATACATATTTGGAGAGTATAACTAGCTACACATGTAATTTTTGGTTGCCTATTTTAAGTAGTCTGCTTATTACAAAGTTTTATACTAAATATCATACCTATAACCGACTAGGGGGTTATCTATTTAAACCCTCTGTGCCTATATGATTACACTAATAACCAAGTGAGAATCCATTCAGAAACCCTTAGTGTGAAGCTAATTTTATTTTATATTTGGTGACAAATTCTACCATAAAAATAGTTGG